CATAAGATACCTAGGAATAAATCTAACCAAAGAGACAAAGGATCTGTACTCAGAAAACTATAAAATACTCATGAAAGAAATTGAGGAAGACACAAAGAAATGGAAAAACGTTCCATGCTCATGGATTGGAAGAACAAATATTGTGAAGATGTCAATGCTACCTAGAGCAATCTACACATTCAATGCAATCCCCATCAAAATACCATCCACTTTTTTCAAAGAAATGGAACAAATAATCCTAAAATTTGTATGGAACCAGAAAAGACCCCGCATAGCCAGAGGAATATTGAAAAAGAAAAGCAAAGCCGGTGGCATCACAATTCCGGACTTCAAGCTCTATTACAAAGCTGTCATCATCAAGACAGCATGGTACTGGCACAAAAACAGACACATCGATCAATGGAACAGAATAGAGAGCCCAGAAATGGACCCTCAACTCTATGGTCAACTAATCTTCGACAAAGCGGGAAAGAATGTCCAATGGAACAAAGACAGTCTCTTCAACAAATGGTGTTGGGAAAATTGGATAGACACATGCAGAAGAATGAAACTGGACCACTTCCTTACACCACACACAAAAATAGACTCCAAATGGTTGAAAGACCTCAATGTGAGACAGGAGTCCATCAAAATCCTAAAGGAGAACACAGGCAACAACCTCTTTGACCTCAGCCGAAGCAACTTCTTCCTAGAAACATCGCCAAAGGCAAGGGAAGCAAGGGCAAAAATGAACTATTGGGACTTCATCAAGATAAGAAGCTTTTGCAAAGCAAAGGAAACAGTTAACAAAACCAAAAGACAACCGACAGAATGGGAGAAGATATTTGCAAATGACATATCAGATAAAGGGCTAGTATCCAAAATCTATAAAGAACTCATCAAACTCAACACCCAAAGAACAAAGAATCCAATTAAGAAATGGGCAGAAGACATGAACAGACATTTTTCCAAAGAAGACATCCAAATGGCCAACAGACACATGAAAAAGTGCTCAATATCGCTCGGCATCAGGGAAATCCAAATCAAAACCTCAATGAGATATCACCTCACACCAGTCAGAATGGCTAAAATTAACAAGTCAGGAAACGACAGATGTTGGCGGGGATGCGGAGAAAGGGGAACCCTCCTACACTGTTGGTGGGAATGCAAGCTGGTGCAGCCACTCTGGAAAACTGTATGGAGGTTCCTCAAAAAGTTGAAAATAGAGCTACCATATGATCCAGCAATTGCACTACTGGGTATTTACCCCAAAGATACAAAAGTAGGGATCCGAAGGGCTACGTGCACCCCGATGTTTATAGCAGCAATGTCCACAATAGCCAAACTGTGGAAAGAGCCAAGATGTCCATCGACAGATGAATGGATAAAGAAGATGTGGTATATATATACAATGGAATATTATGCAGCCATCAAAAGGAATGAGATCTTGCCATTTGCAACGACGTGGATGGAACTGGAGGGTATTATGTTGAGTGAAATAAGTCAAACAGAGAAAGACATGTATCATATGATCTCACTGATATGAGGAATTCTTAATCGCAGGAAACAAACTGAGTGTTGTTGGAGTGGGGGGTGGGGTGGGAGGGATGGGGGGACTGGGTGATAGACACTGGGGAGTGTGTGTGCTCTGGTAAGCGCTGTGAATTGTGCAAGACTGTTGAATCTCAGATCTGTACCTCTGAAACAAATAATGCAATATATGTTAAGAAAAAAAAAAAAAGAAGAAGAAGAAGAAGGTAGCGGGAGGGGAAGAATGAAGCGGGGGAAATCGGAGGGGTAGACGAACCATGAGAGACGATGGACTCTGAAAAACAAACAGGGTTCTAGAGGGGAGGGGGGTGGGAGGATGGGTTAGCCTGGTGGTGGGTATTTAGGAGGGCACATTCTGCATGGAGCACTGGGTGTTGTGCACAAACAATGAATCATGGAACACTTCATCTAAAACTAATGTTGTAATGTAAGGGGATTAACATAAGAATAAAAAAATTAAAAAAAAAAAAAAAAAAAGACCAATTGTGTGTTGCTTTGTTTTGTTTTGTTTTGTTTTGTTTTGTTTTATCACAGTTGGGACTATGTACTCTTGAATTAGAGGATTTATCCATCCTGGAAAATTCTCAGTATTCTCTTAGAAAACGGTCTCTCTTCTATTCTGTATTCTCCTATAATGAAACTCCTATCAGAAATATGTTTGGCCATCTCTTCCAAACTCCTAGTCTCTCTTTTTTTTAATTTTTTTATTAACATACAATGTATTATTTGTTTCAGGGGTACAGGTCTGTGATTCATCAGTCTTACACAATTCACAGTGCTCACCATAGTATGTACTATGTATATGTACTCCCCAATGTCCATCACCAGCCACCCCATCCCTCCCACCCCCTTCCACTCCAGCAACCCTCAGTTTGTTTCCTGAGATTAAGGGTCTCTTAGGGTTTGTCTCCCTCTCTGGTTTTGTCTTGTTTCATTTTTCCCTCCCTTCCCCTATGATCCTCTGTCTTGTTTCTCAAATTCCTCATATCAGTGAGATCATATGATACTTGTCTTCCTCTGATTGACTTATTTCACTTAGCATAATACCCTCTAGTTCCATCCACGTCATTGCAAATGGCAAGATTTCCTCTTTTTGATGGCTGCATAATATTCCATTGTATATATATACCACATCTTCTTTATCTATTCATCTGTTGATGGACATCAAGGCTCTTTCCATAGTTTGGCTATTGGGGACACTGCTGCTATAAACATTGGGGTTCATGTGCCCCTTCGGATCCCTACATTTGTATCTTTGGGGTAAACACCCAGTAATGCAATTGCTGGGTCGTACGGTAGCTCTATTTTCAACTTTTTGAGGAACCTCCACACTGTTTTCCAGAGTGGCCAAACTCCTAGTCTCTTAAAACCATTGGTTTACATTTTAACCTGTACCACATTATGGACAATTTCCCACATCTATCTTCCAGTTCACAAATTTTATCTTTGGCACTGACAAGCTTGCTGTTTTAACCCATCCACTGAGCCTTTTTTTTTATTCCAATAGCTAAAATTATATTCTATTGAATAGCTCTTCTTCTAATATACTTGTTTTCTGTTTTAGGTTTCAATTCTTTCTTTTATGCTTTAATTAACATAAAATGTATTTGTTTTGTGTTCTGCTTCAAATTGTTATTTTATTTTCTCAAGTTTCAGGGGAACCCAATCTTCCAGTATATGGTATATGCTTACTTCTACTCACAACAGAATAGCCCTTTGTTTGAATTGTAATGTTTGATGATGAGTGCCCCTTGAATAGGGCGTGGTTCCCTCTGGAGATGTGGATGGCGTGCTACCTGAATGTTCTCTAGGAATGCTTTTATATATGCTCTGCTTGAAACATCAGATGCACCATAAATCTGAGTCCAATATTTAAATTAACTTCCCATTCTGGATCACATAGGTACTGCAGGATCTCATTTTCCCCCATGTATTGCATTTTTTTTCCAATTTCTCACCTTTTTTTTTCCAGTTTCCTAAGTGCTCAGTGCATGTAAGGGACAGACTTCCTCCCCTCCACAACCTCCTCAAGACTACCAGAATATCAGCTCATGCACTTAAATTCCAAGTTTGTCCATTCCTCTATCTAAAAACAACTGTATGGTTCTACTTTTCCGCTTGTCCTTGGAAATTGTTTCTTTTTGTAATCTCATCTATGATTTTTTAAACTTTATTAAATTTTACTTAGTGAAATTAGCAAGGGATATTTCATATTGTTTTAGGCCTCCATCTGGCAGGTTCCCAAACTCTCGGACACTGTGAAAGCCACAACAGCCTAGAACTGCCTATATTCTCATTTACAGTATGTAAGACAGAAATTCACTTATACTTTATAAAGTCATTGCTATTATTTTGTGTTTCCCGTCATACACAGTCAAAAATAATCCTGTTATACCTTTGACTCTTTCAATTGGAAAATAAAAGACTAAGGGAGACACATTAATATTGGCAAAATAGCAAAGGAACTGCCATCCTTGCTAAATAAAAGCAGTTTTGAAATGCATTGTACCGTGGAGAGAAGGAAGAACCTTTCACACCTGCAAATGACTAAAATTGCCTCTAAAGTTCTCCTTCTGCTTTTTTGTTTTTTTAAAGATTTTATTTATTTGACAGAGAGAGACACAGTGAGAGAGGGAACACAAGCAGGAGGGAGTAGGAGAGGGAGAAGCAGGCTCCCCGACGAGCAGGGAGCCCAATGTGGGGCTCAATCCCAGGACCCTGGGATCACGACCCGAGCCGAAGGCAGACGCCCAACCGACTGAGCCACCCAGGCGCCCCTCTCCTTCTGCTTTTTAAAATTTCCCCACATCATCAGAAACATAATAAACCAAAATGTGTTTTAAGAAAATAAGAAACAGAAAAGAAAGGCAAAAGCTGAAAGGGACATATATGTATCTTAATCATATATTTTGACTCTAGCGCAAAGCCTCACATCCCAAGCACCCCTACTTCCTCCAAATAAATAAATAAATAAATAAATAAATAAATAAATAAATAAAACAAAACACTATTATCATGTCCTGACATCTACTCCATCCCTTCCCTTCATTCTTTTTTTTTTTTTTTAAAGATTTTATTTATTTATTTGACAGAGAGAGACACAGCGAGAGAGGGAACACAAGCAGGGGGAGTGGAGGAGGGAGAAGCAGGCTTCCTGCTGAGCAGGGATCCCGATGCGGGGCTCGATCCCAGGACCCTGGGATCATGACCTGAGCCGAAGGCAGACGCTTAACGACTGAGCCACCCAGGCACCCCCCTTCCCTTCATTCTTAATCTGAAAGCCCTGTTCCATTGCACTTATTAAATGCATTCACCTCAAATTTTATAGCCAAGCGCCATCCTTCTAATGATGCCTCCTTCTAGGCATCTAGAACTTACCGTGAACTGAATATGTACACACTGAGGGCCTTCCCTGCGGAGGCCTGCTGCACAAAGCGCTCTACTGGAGTAGACAAAGTCTGCACAATTACCTGGCCTTCCAGTTGGCAGGGTCCCCTCATAGTCGCTGTTCAGGATCACAGCCAGACCCACCGAGTGGGCCGGGAGGACGGAGCTGCTGAGGTCCACGCGCGTCAAGCTCTCAGGCTCTTTCTCTGAGCCCTCCACGGCGTTTCTTGGGCTGTCCTGTCCAGTGGCCTCCCTTTCTTGGCCTTTGCGCCAGGGTCTCAGCACGACATGAACGATGCTCTGCTGATCCAGGTCACAGCTCTAGGTGGGTGCAAGGCAGAAACAGACGAGAAAGAGCAAGCGTTAAAATGCCAAGTAAGGTTTAACTTGTCCTCAATCCCAGAGTACGCAGAAGAGCCTAAAATCTGTTTGGGTCCAAGGTTGCATATAGTCATGGAACTTGAGAGACGAACCACCTGTGACTGATGGAGGTGGACACACTGTCCCTGTCAGCACATGTGTGGGCAACAAAGGCAACACGGCACTGGGGCCACAAACCGAAATGTGGGCGCAAATGGACCACAGCAACAGAAAACCAGAGTAATAGTCAAAGCAACAGGAGATCGAGCAGGGCAGAAATGTACCACACTGCATATTTAAGCACAGTGAAAAGCAATATTCTTTTAAAATTGATTTACTTCAGAAGTGATGTGTCCTCCCAATTATCAAATATATTTCCTAGAAAAAAGTGAAAGTTAAGAAACCTGAAAAGCTCTCTCATTTAATATTTAGTTATCCAGAAGCAATTGTTCTTGTTTTTTTTATTTCCTAGAAAAAAGTGAAAGTTAAGAAACCTGAAAAGCTCTCTCATTTAATATTTAGTTATCCAAAAGCAATTGTTCTTGGTTTTTTTATTTCCTAGAAAAAAGTGAAAGTTAAGAAACCTGAAAAGCTCTCTCATTTAGTATTTAGTTATCCAGAAGCAATTGTTCTTGTTTTTTTTATTTCCTAGAAAAAAGTGAAAGTTAAGAAACCTGAAAAGCTCTCATTTAATATTTAGTTATCCAGAAGCAATTGTTCTTGGTTTTTTTATTTCCTAGAAAAAAGTGAAAGCCAATTATCAAATATAAATACCAGCATCCATCTCCATTTTTTTTTAAAGATTTTATTTATTTATTTATTTGAGAGAGAGACTGAGAGAGAGAGAGCATGAGAGGGGGGAGGGTCGGGAGGGTCAGAAGGAGAAGCAGACTCCCTGTCGAGCAGGGAGCCCGATGCGGGACTCGATCCAGGGACTCCAGGATCATGACCTGAGCCGAAGGCAGTTGCTTAACCAACTGAGCCACCCAGGTGCCCCCATCTCCATTTTAAAAAGCACAGAGAGTTGGTTATTGCCAATTACAGCGCATTTTTCTCTACAATTTAAAATAATTGTGTTTATGGTAGACTCCACACGCACCCCCTATGTCACCAGCAAACACATCCCCACAGCAATGGGGAAGCAAGTGAGTAGCATCCCCAGGCCACCCCAGCCAATACCACAATTAAAATCAGTGAATATTTGCAAAAATCATCTGTGCCGATATATTGATGTGTATGAACAGAAGACTGTAAAATTGACTAGAATTAAAGTTTGAAGTCATACTTTGCTAGGAGTATAACTAGACTACCAGAGATCAAAGCCCTGTCTCAGAATATCTACTGGATAGAACATCACTCATCTGTCTTCGGCCCTCCTCCCTCAGAGCCAGGACCTCGTTATCTCAGTAAACCCCCGAAATTTCAATATCTACAAACCACCTGTAGTCATGCTCTCATCATAGCAATGTTCAAACAACACCATGCACGCACAATGATGCTAATGACAGTCCTAACTGGCCCCCATCTTCCCTCCAGTGCTCCACAGCTGTCACCAGCAAATATTGAAGAGTGGTGCCCATTATGCATCAGCATTTCGTGCGGACACACCACCGTGGACTCAGAAGGTCACAGGACGCCCTCTGGGCCTCAATCCCATTTCTGCCTCTTCCGCACCCCATGCCCCAGACCTCTGTCACATGGACACACTTGCTGTCCCTGCCACCTGTCCTCCCAGCTCTGTGGTCACTGGGTCGTCAATCTCTGTCCCCTTAGCCTGCCCCCACCTGCATCCCCCATTTCTGTCAAATCACTGCCCTCCCACACGGTATTGTGGGTCAAACCCTCCCCGGCCACCTACAACTCTGATTATCCTCCTATGTCTTCTGAAGGCTTCAGTATCACCGCCTTGGGTTCCTCCGCCCTACCCTTACACCCAGCGAGGTGCTAAGAGTAACTAATTCTGCCTCAAAAATAGCCTTCACATCTTCTGCTCCCTTACTTCTCAATTGCCATCTCCCCATTTTAAGCCTTCATCATTATACTAGCTTTGCAATGGCTCCCTGACCACTCATCTCTCCCTATAATCCATTAGTGACGCGTTTCTGGAGTGTGCTACATAATCTTTTCCAATGTCTCCCTATTACCTATTACATAGAATCTGACATCTCACTATCATCTTCAGGTGTGTTTAGACTTTTCTCCATTGTAGATCAGCTACCTTATGATTTTATCTCCTTTCCTCTCCTACTCCTGTCCTTGATTTGGGCTCCGTCGCGTGACTGGCTTTGGCCAGTTTGACTGAATCACGGCCTTTAAATGTACCTGTGCCACTGCTGGTGGTCAGCGAGAGAGCACCCCTGGGTAGTTTCCGCCTCCTCAGCCTGGGCCCCACATGTGCACGGGGCGCAGTCCCGCGCTCAGCCGCAGGGAGGACCGGGTGCCCCTGCACTCACAGCGGGGGCAGAACCTTCCAGGGGAGGGGCGGCACCGCAGACCCCCAGGTGACCTGGACGGGACACTCCCTGATGTATGGCACTGACATTCTGTGGTTGTGCATTAGGCAGTAAGAGCTGACAATATTTATTTTCCATTCTAATTGGACTAATAGATATTCTATCACTATTTATCACGGCCTCTGTGTTCAGCCAGAACTCTAGGAATCGTACAGAGCCTTCAGCCTAAGTCATTTCAAATAAACCAACACCAAGATCTGAGTACCCTTGAGCGGGCATGCAAGGGCAGGAGCTGTGCAACAAGGGGGAAACCGTCGAGAATGAGTCTCCTAACGTCCCGAGGTTTTTATCCATAGTGTGTTCCTTTCAAGGAGACTCAAGAATTCAGAGAAAATTCCTCTCTCGACGTTCAGGACTTTTGTGCTTCAGATAAAAGTGATACCTTTCTTTCTCATCTGAATGCCAGCAATCTTTGCCTGCCATGTGCTTCTTGCAGTTGGTCGGAGTGTGGGCAGGACTTGGGGGGGGGGGGGGGGGGTGCCTGTGTGTGTGTGTGTGTGTGTGTGTGTGTGTCTGACTTTCAGACTCAGTTTAGAAATTCTTGACAACAGCAGCTGGGTCATACTTTTATCTTTATTTACCAGAATGCCTCACACAGCGCTTGGAACCTAGTAGATAGAGAACATATGTCCGTGAATGGGAAAGTCAAAGGACTGGGGCAGAAACAAAAATAAATGAAGGAAGAAATATAAATAGTCATAAACTCAATACCTAAAGTGCTCCATGGGGAACCAGAAGCTTGTGGAAGAAAGAACATGGAATTTAAAGCCAGATAGATGTAATCTATTAGCTGTACGATTTTTGGCAAATGACTTCTCCTCCCTAAGCTCTAGTTTCTACATCTGTCGTTGGCAATAATAGCACCAACTTTGAAGACTGCTCTGAAGATTTAAGGAAACAGAAGGAGTGCAGAGCCCAATCCACAGCAATAACTCGATACCCGGTTGTTAGTATCAGCATCATCATTCAGGAGTTTGGAAAACTCAGCAGGATTGGCCCCTGATCTTGTACATCGAGAAAGCCTCTGAATCCTATGAGGCTGTCCCACGCACACAGTCCTACTTGGAGGATGGACACAGAAGGTGGAATAAGCAGGCGCTATAGATGTGATAATCACTCCGACAACACTCCAGCTTCCTGTGAACTAGAAATTGATGATAAAAAAAAAAATCCCTATCTGCTCAGATGCCATGAAACACATGAAGAATCTCAGCAAATTCTCAGAGCCTGCTAAAATTTGACAAACATGGAAGAAATCCAAAAACTGAGATTTTCCTTTCAAATCAAGATATTTTCTTGAATATCCAGGGTAGAGCTGGAAAGGGGAATAGGAAGACCGCGAGCAGATTTCAGTAGTTCCAGTGATATGTATAGAACATATTTCTCTCAATCTGCATCCATGGTTCTGAGACCATTGCTTAATTCTTTGACTTCTCATAAAAAACGGTGTTGATCTCAGCAGTCCCTTTGCCAGATGGTACAAATGCACCATCACGCTGGTTCAATTCAAGCCCCATTAATAACACATTCCACGGATGATAAACTGGATAAAGTTTAGTTGTCTAGCCACTCCAAAGCCCAAAATAAGAATTAGTTCTCACAGTATACAAAAAAATGCCTCAGTTTTGGGAGGTAGAGATTTTCAGTGGGAAGACAGCAGAGTTCTCCAACGTGGTTTTAAATTTCCTCAGGGCAAAAACAATGTCTTATATCTTAGTTTCCTCAATAAAGAGAATATTGCCTCTCAAAGAGGAAACACATTTCATCTGTGTTTTAACTTATTAATTCAACAAGTAAGGCAGTGATGGAAGCTGTTTGGTGTGGACAAAACGAGTAGTTATTTGTCCAACTCGACTTGCTATTATGCCGTCAAGTGGAGCCGTTCCCCCATCAGGGACTGAGAAATTTGTATCATGGACCCTCTCTCTACAGTACCTTTGATTTGAAGATGCCCCAGTATTAATATCTATGGGAGTTGATCGCCAACCAATAACCAAGTCTCACCCAGTTGGCCATCCTCCCACAATATACAGGAAATTGATGTGTTTTTCCTTTTCCAAAAAGGAGTTCCTCTGCTGACATGTAGGTAGGATTCAAATATTTGAGAGTCTGGTAATCCAATTAGAATACTGAAAATAGGGGCGCCTGGGTGGCTCAGTTGGTTAATCATGACCCTTCGGCCTGGGTCATGATTCTGGGTCCTGGGATAGAACTGGGATAGTCCTGGGCTCCCTGCTAAGTGGGGAGTCTTCTTCTCCCTCTGCCCCTTCACCGCTCATGCTCTCTCTCTCAAATAAACAAATTCTTAAAAAAAAAAAAAAAGAAGAACACTGGAAGTAACTAAAACTTGAAAAACCTGCTAATGCTTTTCAAACTCTTCTTAACCTTTTAGACCTTGTAAAAACAAGTAATATTACTCTAACAAGAAAATTCCTGGGGATTGCAAAG